ATCCCTTGATCTTTCTCCCCCTAACTGTGTGATATTAGGCAAACTCTTAGCCTAACCTCTCTATGACTCAGTTTCCTCTTCTGTAAAATAGAGAATGCAATAGTACTTCATAGGATTAGTGATTCAATATTAGTATATGTAAGAAGTATTTAAAGAGTGTCTGGTAGGTGCTTCTAAAATGTTAGTTATTATCACTATTTTCATCAAGAGAAAACAAGTATTTTTAGTAATATGTTTGTATTTCAGCTGGGAATGTAGCTCAGTGGTAGAGTACATTACAAGGCCCTGGGTTCAATCCCCAATACCAATAAATAAATAAATATTATTTTTAATTGACACACAGTAATTGTACATATTTATGGGGTATAGTGGGACATTTCAATACATATATGCAAGGTGTGATGATCAAATCAGAGTAATTAGCATATATCACCTCAGATATCTATCACTTTTTGGTGTTAGAAACATCTAAAATCCTCTCTACAAGGTGTTTTTAAATATTCAATTAATTGTTGTCAGCCATAGCTATCCTACAGTGCTAGACTACATGAGAAACTACACCAAGGGAAAATTTTAAGAGGTTCTTTCTCCACACTACAATGAGCTTTTACCTGCAAAGACCCTGACTTATTCATCTTAGGATTCCCACGTCATACAGAGGGCCTAACACCCAGTAATGTGAATATTTGTTGTACAATAATAATTTCTATACAGAAAGGAAGGTAGTCTATAATGTTCAGGGCCCAATACAGACCCTGTTTCATTAGTTGAAAGAAACAGGCCAGGGATTTAGTTCAGTGGTGCTACTGCTTGCTTCGCAAGCGCAAGGTCCTGAGTTCAATCCCCAGTACCAAAAAAAAGAAACGGGCTAGGAGAGTAGCTCAGTGGCAGAGTGCTTGCCTAGCATGAACAAGGCCCTTGGTTCAACCCCCAGCACCACAAAGAGAAAAAATAGAAATGAAGAAAAAGAAAAGAAAAGAAAGAGTGACACACAATTCTGAGTGTTGCTACCTCTGGCTCAGTGTCGTTTCTTACCAGTCAACCAAAAGTTAAAGGAAAACCACAGTGTGACAGAGTGAGAAGACCAGCTATTTTTTTCTTTGAATTCTCATAAAAACGTAAGTTCCTCCACAATAAAACTGAGTTCCATTCATCTTAGTCCTCAATCTGAAAAACAATAGGAGCAAAATAAGTGCTTATAGAGTAAATGAGTGGTGAAGAGTACACTAAATTATTTGTTTTGTAACTGAATATTACTGCTTTTTCATATCTACAAAAAGTACTTAAAATTAATACCCACAATACACACATAAAAAGTTCAAATCATACAAAATTATGTTGAATGTGAATGAATCACCTAGAGAGAATTCTCCTTGGCATCTAGAGCATTACTTAGCCAAGTATTTTGTGTATGCAAATACTAATGTGTAAGTAGAAAGGCTGTATCATGTAGTACTTCAATACTGTGAGCTTTGGAATTGGATATCCTGAGTTTTAATCCAATCTTACCATTCTTTAGTGGTATGGCCTTAAAAAAGCCACGTATCCACTCTCTGCCTTGGTTTGTACAAAAAGTAAAGCTAATAAAAAAACCACCCTAAGACTTACTGGGACAATAAATTAGTACATTTAAACACTTAGGATGGCTCCCAAATCAGAGATATAACTCAATGAAGGTTAGAAATTATGTATGTATACATATTTAAACAAAATATGATGTCACACTGTTTTTTATCTTAGCTTTTCATATAACAAAAATTGTGAGGTTTTGGTTTTTGGTAGCACATACGAAAAATTCCTTCTTCTGATGGCTGTATTGTATTCAAATGTACATGGCTCTATGTGACCAATTTCCTGCTGTGGGCATTCAAGTATTTCTAATATTTTATTAGTACAAACAGCCACAAATCAAAAACCCTTGTTGCACATATATTTTTCCATATTTAGATCAAGTATTTCTATTGGATAAATTCCTAGAAATGGAATCATTAGATCAAAGTACACAAATTTTTAAATATTTTAATAAACAGTGACTTGTCAAATGGCCTTTCTAAAAGGCTATATCACTTTACAGTTTGATTAATGAGTGTACTTTGTTGCTTTGTGGCTGTGTACATTTCAGCCAGACTCCCCTATAATTTATTTTGAATGCCCCAGTAGTATAGAATTAAGTACTTTACTCTGCTAGTTCTGCATGGTAGTTCTTTATCTTTCCAAAAATTGTAAACAACTCCTAAGAACTTAGTAACCAATTTTCTACAGCACATATTCATATACATGGGCTGACAAAGAATTTTTATGCCACTCCCAGATGGGCGAGGAAGAAATGTTGGGATTTTTTGGCCTTTTCAGTGGCCAAAAAGGAAGAACATTTGAAATGAGAACTATCCATTGAGTTTTAGAGACAGGGTGGCTGTATGTACATTCATCTTTGTTTTCTGTGATTGGAACCCTTATTTCATAGAAAAAAAAAAAGCCATCTCTCTGTTGAGTGTTCTGGGTACAATGTCTCTAATTCCGTGCTTCCTGGAGTGTGAGGAGTTAGGACTGGGAGCCCAGCAGATGCAGGCAGGTAATGAATGCACAAACAGGTAGCCTTCCTAGCCAGAAGTTGAATAGCGCCACCAAGGGGACAGGTGGCTCCAGTGGTGACTGAAGCCCATTCTGTTTTTATTTTTAATATCAATTTTAGCCCAAGTTATAAGTATACATAATATGAGTCAGATATTACTACAAAGCTTGTAACAAAAACCCCTGTCCCACACCTAATTCCATTCCAGAGACAGTAACTTTAATTTTGTATAGTTACCATACCTGATTATGGTGTCACTTCTTGGCTTTTAAATTTTATACATTTCCTATTAAGTCACAGCCATGGAAGACAGTCTCTCTCTCTCTCTCACTCTCTCTCTCCCCCTCCCCACCCCCCCGTGCATGTGTGCATGCCCATACATGCTTCACCTCTCCAGTTTTCCCAAAATAACTGAAATAATTGTATCATATTTTTTGGTTAAATCAATGTGCTGTTATACATTATGACAATTAATATTATTTCCAGCTGAGCATCATAGTTTATGATGATTTCAATGTTTTTCTTATAAACTGCTTTGGTATCTTGGCTTTAATGATCAGCACAGGTCTTACTTGCTAAGTTTCCTGTGTAACAGCTCCAATTCATCCCCAAATTCTTTGCCAGAACTCAAATCCTCTGCAATTGCCTCAGCTTTGTGCTGCGCATAACATGTGAACACTCAACAGTGTACCCAGAACACTCAACAGAGAGATGGCTTTTTGTCTAGGAAATAGGGGTTCCAGTCACAGAAAATAAAGATGAATGTAGATGCAGCCACCCTGTCTCCAAAACTTAATGGATGGTTCTCATTTCAAATGTTCTGCAACACAGGAGCAGAACAGTTTAAGGCAGTTGTTTTCAAATGTGGTCCCCAGAAACTAGCAAATCAAAATCAATATGACCCACCTTGATAGAAAAGCAAATTATCATTGTCTTACCCCAGATTTATGGAATGAGTTGCTCTGGGGGTGGGACCCAGAAATTTGGCTTTTTTTTTTTGGTACCAGGGATCGAACTCGGGACCTTGCGCTTGCAAGGCAAGCAGCAGAACAACTGAGCTAAATCCCTGGCCCAAAATTTGGCTTTATCTAGACCCCCAGGTGATGCTAATGGGCACTCAAGCTTGAGAACCACTGATTAAAGAGCACAGACACTGAAATCTAAGGCCAGAATTTGAATCCCAAGTATTCCATTCATTTGTGACTAACAACTTCCAAAATTCAGTCTTCCATTCATAAAATGAGGATAATAACCTTTAGAAAATAGAGTTATTGGGCCAGGGATGTAGCTCAGTGGTACAGCGCCTGTCTGGCAAGCACAAGGCCCTGAGTTCGATTCCCAGTACTGAAAAAATAGAAAGAAAATAGTTATTGTGAGCAGCATGACACTAGACTTCATCAGAAGCTCCAGTTTTTTCTCAGAGCCGTCTGAAATCCAGGTCCATTGTGGGAAGGGAGCCCTCTAAGCCTGCTGCAGGGCCTTACCCCAGGCCTTCCCAATATCCCCTGGCTTCTATCTTTAGCACTTCTGCACCCTTGAAGCCTCATGGAATCACACTTATCCCTGAGAAGAATTAAGACGAGGAAGGGGGTTGGAGTCTAGCCTCATCCTCACCCTCTGTCTTCTCACTTTGACCAGTTCTTAACTTCGTAACTGACTTGAGCCTCTGCTCTCTCATAGGTGAAAGGAGCGGCAATCGTGTCCAATTACACCAGGGTGCTGGTATCTAACAAGCACTCAGAAAGTCCCAAGTCTTTATCATGGCTCCCATCCCTGTCTCATTATGGGGCTCCGCCACTTCTCCCCTGACATCCCACTACCCTTCCCTCCTCCCACTCAATTCCAACCCCATGAAATGCTCTTCCAATGGATATAAATTTGACTTAGTCTTTTACTTAAAGCAGATCTCTGCTCAATGGTTTAGAAAGGTTTTCCTTAGAAAGGTTTTCCCAAACCATACAAAATGGTTCTAAAATAGCAGCTACTCTATCCCTATCTATGCCTTGGCTTGCTTTATTTCCCTTCATAGGCCAATCACACAATTCTGTTCCATCTTGTTGTCTGTGTCAGCCCCTCAAAGGCAATCTCTAAGTTTGATCTTGTTCTCCCCCTTAAATCAGTTCTATAATTGCCTAACACATAGGAAGGGCTTAAAAATGTTAGTCAAATGAATGACTTGTCTTTTGTTTGATGTAGTCCCTGTCTTATTCAGCCATTATCTGAGTGATTGCTTGTGAACAGAGAGCACATTCCACACATCCCCTGACACACAGCAATGGGCAACCAGCAGGTAGAGGCTGTCCATCCCTTCTTCACTGCAGGCCAATAGCAACCTCATTTCTGTTCTTCTCATTTCCTCATTTGCTGAGTCTTGAGCTCCAGTCATGTGCCTGGCATGTCTAAGGCTCCAGGGATATTGAGATGGGCACATTTGTAGACAGAAAAGATAAAGAAATGAAAAATGGTTGGCTATAAATGCTTACACTGTTTACCTGGGGGCTGAGCAGGGTAAGGGGTGTGAAGTACCTGGGTCCTCAGTTCCATTCCAATTGAGCAACCTCCACCCTCAGTTTCTTCATTTGTAAAATGGGTAATGGACAGTACCTACCTCAGGATTGTCCTAAGAATTCTTTGTTAATCACTGTGTTTATGGGGTGGAAAACTTTCATAAATGTTGGCTGTCAGTTCTAACAGTAAGTACAGGATACTTTTGTAATGTAATCAAATCTAATATGAAGAATAAGAATGGGGTCAAGTCATCAACTTATCAAGTAATCTGGTCCTTCTGTCAACAAAAAGGACTTACACCCTTGTGATTCTTCCCAGAGTTTTGGATCCAGTCTTTCTCAAAACTCAGGTAGGTAAAGTATCCAGAAGGAGAGGTACTCCTGGCTTCATCCAACTTATGGAATCAGGGCTGGGAGGAGTGGAGCCAGGCTGTGCAGCACAGCCACCAGTCCTTAGAAACCTCTAAGTAAAGACACAAATGTTTATGGCTATTCAGGGCTTCGTTTGCCTCTCACCTTTTAACCGAACTTCACTGTGATATAATTTGCTGCAATAGGCTTTCATCCCTTAGCAAACTCCCTGAGCCCCTTAGCAGTCAGTTCCCACCCAAATAGGAAGTAGGGAGATAGATCTCAAAGGGGAAGGGGATCAAGAGATGGAGAAAGGGGGAGGGAGGAGAGGGAAATTAGTTTTTTGAGACATGGTTGTGCTATGTAGTTCAGGCTGGTCTTGAATTTACTGTGTAGCCCAGGCTGCCCTCAAAATTATGATTCTTCTGCTTCAGCTGGCATTATAGGTGTGCCCCATCATACCCCATTCCAGCCTGAGGCAAATTAACAAGACCTTGTCTCAAAATAAAAATGAAAAGGGCTGAGGCCACAGCACAGTGGTGGAGTATTTGCCTAGCATGCATGAGGCCCTGAGTTCTGTCTCTAGTACTGCCCCTCCTGAAAGCTTGCATTTTGAAGAATTATATATGAAATCATCTAGTATGTATTCTTTAATGTTTGACTTCTTCCACTCAGTGTAATTATTTTGATCCATCCATTTGCTGTTAAATATTAATATTTCATTCCCTTTTTTTCACTGTATGGAAATAGCACAATTTGTTTGTACATTTGTTTGATGAACATGGGAATATCTTCCAGTTTGGGACTCTAATGGGGAAAGCCACTAATAAACATTTCTATATGTTTATTTGTGAACACAAATTTTCATTTATTTAGGGTAAATACCTAGACATGGAATTGCTAGGATTTAGGGCAGATATACTATATATTTAACTTTTTTTTCCCCCCAATACTAGGTGTTAAACCCAGGGTCTCCACACTGAGCATTCCCAGTCCTTTTTTATTTTGAGACAGGGTCTTACTAAGTTGCCCAGGCTGGGCTTGAATTTACCATCCTCCTTCTCAGCCTCTTAGAATACTGAGATTACAGGCATGTACCACCAAACCTGGCTGTATATTTAATTCTGAAAGAAACTACCACACTGTTTTTTCCAAAGTAGTGGAACCATTTTACACTCTCACCAGTTGGCTGGAGTTTACCTATCTCATGGTGTTTGCAATTGCTGCTCCCTCTTCCTTGAATGATCTTCCACTACTTGTAGCATGGCTGGGCTCTTGACATTCTGGTCTCAGCTCAATGTCTTACTCTAAAGAGATGGTTAGGGGACTGGGATTTAGCTCAGAGGTACCGAGTCTGCCTTGCAAGCACAAGGTCCTGAGTTCAATCCCTGGTACCAAACAAAACAATCAAAAACCCAACAAAATAAGGAGATGGTTAGGAACTGAATTGTGCCCCTCTACCCACCCAAGTTCATATATTGAAGAAACACATCTTAGTACCTAATGATGCGTCTACATTTGGAGATTAGGTCTTTAAAGAGGTCATGAAATAAAATGAGGACTCTAATCCAACATGATTGGCATCATATAGGACCAGAAGAAGAAGAGATACCAGATTCACTCTTGCAGAGGGAAGACCATGTAAGGACACAAGAAAGCAGGTGTCTGCAAGCCAAGCCTACACCCTGATCTTGGACATCTAGGATCCAGAACGATTGGAAAATAAATTTCTGTTGTTTATACCACCCAATCTGTGATGTGTTGTTATGGAAGCCCTAGCAAACTAAATATAAAGGTCTTTCAATTACCATTTTGCAATCACCATAATAATTATCTCAAGAATCATCAATGAACACTAAAGCCAGAAACTAATGAAGAACAGGATATTTAGTTTCAAAATTATCTTCCTTCAAGATATTTAATAATTACATAGGGAAAAAACAGACATCACCTTAACAAATGATCAGAGTTAACATCACCAATGTTGGTACAAGCCAATGCCATGTGTGCTGCCTGATGTGAGGTCAAGGATAGAACTTTCTTTCAGTAGCCTTTTTTGTCAAAAGTGCATAGTCTGAATCCAATCAGAAGAAAATATCATTCAATTCAAATTTAGTGACATTCTACAAAACAATCTGCCAATATGCTCCACAAATGTCAAGGTCATGAAAGACAAAGAAAGCAAGTAACTAACTGCCTTCCCAGATTAAAGGAAGCTGAAGAGATAGGACAATTAAATTCAACAAGTGATCCTGAATTAAATCCTAGGTAATATCTATAAAGGATACTATTTGGGACAATTAGCAAAACTTAGATAAGAATGACATATTAAATAAGAAAATGGTATCATTGTTAAAATTCCTGATTTTAATCATTGTATTGAGACTCAGCAACAGAGTCCTTGTTCTTAGGAGATAAACTCAGAAATATTTGATAATGCTGTATGAAATCTTTGTATGTTTTGTTTTGTTTTGGTGACAAGGTCTCTCTATGTGGTTCCATATTGGCCTTGAATTTGCTGTGTAGCCTAGCCTGGCCTCAAACCCACAGCAATCCTCCTGCCTCAGCCTCCTGAGTGCTGGGATTATAGGCATATGCCACCATGCCCAACTAGAATATTAAATTTTAACATTATAAAATGATTTAGAGCAAAAGATATATATATATATATATGCACTATATATGTGTATGTGTGTGTGCATATACACGAGATATGATCATACAAATGTAGAAAATTTAATACTTTGTTATTCTGGTTGAAAGTATATGAGAGTTCTTTAGTACTTTTAAAATTTCTAAGTACACTTGATGGGGCGCAGGGGGGACTGGGAATTGAACCCAGGGCCTTGCACATCCTAGGCGAGCACTCTACTACTAAGCTTCATTTCTGACCCTACATTTGAAATTTTATTTTGAAGAATTAAGACTTTCGGTGATTATACTATCAGAAGAGGTCTTCAGCCAGGCATGGTGGCGTGGGTTTGTAATCAATCCCGGCACTTGGGAGGCTGAGGCAGGATCTCAGCAAGTTTGAAGACAGCCTGTACTACATAGCAAGACCCTGTCTCAAAAAAAACAAAGTGGGAGCAAAATGGTCTTCAAACCCCAAGAACCCTCTAGTTCATTCTTTTTCTCCATCACACTTTCACTGACAAAAAATTTCTGTGCATTTGTTTACTTGATAATAATATCCAATGTTTATTGTACGGAACATCCTGTCCTGTTCTAAGGGTTTTCACTGTGTAATCTATGAAAATATACAAGCTTGATTATCTTGCCCCAAATCACCCGAGGTTTGTCTGCTAAAGTGGCAGAGCTTCAAGTAAGGCAGGGACTGATTTGCCCACTGCACTTTCCCTAGACTTAGACTGGTGCCTAGTATATGATGTGCATTCAATCTGTAGATCCAATTAACATATATTAAGCACCCTGTTAGGCACTGAGGTACAAAGCAGTGAACAAAATATGCAAGAGTCCATGCCTACATGGAGCTTACACTGAGTACCATCGCCTCACACTCAATTATCCACGTATTTACTTATTTAGTGGGTGGTAGTGGGGATTAAACCCAAAGTCTTTGCACTGAGGTACATCCCCAGCCCTTTTTAAATTTTTATTTGGAGACAGGGTTCCCCCAAATTGCTAGGTTGCCCAGGTTGGGCTGAAATTTACGATCCTCCTGTGCCAGTTTCCCAGAAGGCTGGGATTACAGGCATTTACCACCTCGCCGGCTCACCATATTTCATTTGGTCCTATCAGGTCTGAAAGGATGGTTCAGTCTATTTTGCAGAGGAGGAAACTGAAGATCAGGGTGGGGCAACGATTTACCTCAGATCAATGTTATCGTTCCTAGGAGTGAGGATGGGATTCCAAACCAGCCTCTGAGGTTCTCAGGCCAGAGTCCTCAATCAATCAAGCCAACAAATCCAATCACCCAATCAGTATTTATTGGGTCCCCAGTGCGGGCGGTTAGTCCTCGCGCAGGTCAAGAGGAGAGGCTGCGGTGCGCTGGTGGCAGCACAGGCAAGGAGGCCTCCGCGGGTCGCGGGAGTTTGGCGCCTATTTTTTGTTGGTTGGGTGTTCTCGCCAGTGATTGGACCGCAGCGCGGCGTCCCGGGTGCGCCGGGTGCGCCGGGTGCGCCGTGTGGCGGCTGCTCTGTAGACCTTGGCAGGACCTGGGGAAGCGCAGTAGGCGACTGGCCTCCCGGGGGATGGGCCACCAGGAATCTCCGCTGACCCGAAGAGCGGCGAGAGGCGCAGCTTACGTAAAGAGGTTATGTAAAGGGGTCAGCGAGCGCGAACACGTGGAAAACCACGGGAACCTGGAAGCCTGGGCCCCCTTGTCGAGTGCCACTGCCACCACCGGTGCAGCACTACAGCCTGTCGCCCGCCCAGCCCGGGCCAACTACTCCCGCGCTACTCGGTCCCGGAGGCTGCTCCGGCTTGGAGCGGACCATTTCCCGGCGAGGGCTCCAGGGGGGAAACGCGCCGCCCGGAAGTGGAGCAGCGCCAGCCAGGTAAGGGCTAACCGGCGGAGCTGAAATTAACCGCCGCTTCCGTGGCGCTTGGGGAGGACACCAGGGTCCTTGGTTTGTCGCGCTCTGAGAGGCACTTTTAGCCAATCTCCTCCACCCGCTATCTTGTGGACTTGGGTCGGTCCATTGGGCTCTATGGCTTAATTCAAAGGACTGTTTACACCCAGGAAGACTTAAGGCAGGGCGCAGGAAGGGGAATGTCAGAGACCAGCAAGCTGGAAGGACTTAACAATCAGAATAGCTCCTTTAGGTGATTTTCTTAAATACAAAAGACCTCTCGTTTTTGTTTTTTCTATTTCCACCCGCTAAATAAACGGAGAAGACCAGAGGCCTGTGCTTTTCTTTCCGGTTCTCCCTCTGAACGCCTATTCAAGTGGTTCCGTCTTTCCCGCTTTCCCCTCCCCTTCCCTGTTCAGTCTGTGGCGGCGGCTTCCGTCTTAAAGGGCCCAAGGAGACCGAAGGAGGAGCAGGAGTAGGTGGGGCTCTCCGCTGCCTGCTCTCCTTGCCTTCCTGCCTCAGCCTGGTCGTTTAACCACTTCTTTCGTCCACAGGTCACAATCCAAGGTCCCGCTCCTTCGCGTGCCGGGACCGGACGAAGGGATGAAGCAGGGCGGACCCGGGCAGCACCGTTGCTGCTCCCCCCGCCGCCCGCAGCCATGGAAACGGGGGAGGAGGACGGCGCCCGCCGAGGTACACAAAGCCCGGAGCGGAAAAGGCGAAGCCCAGTGCCGAAGGCGCCCAGCGAGAAGCTGAGGCCGGCAGCTGCGGCCCAGGCAATGGATCCAGTGGCGGCCGAGGCCTACCTGGCGCGCCGGCGGCCCGAGGTTAGCAGCGGGTCTGCGCCGCCCCGCTACAGCCTGTTGGCGGAGATCGGGCGCGGCAGTTACGGCGTGGTTTACGAGGCAGTAGCCGGGCGCAGCGGGGCCCGGGTGGCGGTCAAGAAGATCCGCTGCGACGCCCCTGAGAATGTGGAGCTGGCGCTGGCCGAATTTTGGGCCCTGACCAGCCTTAAACGGCGCCACCAGAACGTCGTACAGTTTGAAGAGTGCGTCCTGCAGCGCAACGGGCTCGCCCAGCGCATGAGCCACGGCAACAAGAGTTCGCAGCTTTACCTGCGCCTGGTGGAGACCTCGCTCAAAGGTAGGACTGCCCTGCCCACTCAGGGCCTGGGCCCTCTGCTTCTGGGGCCGCCGGGTCCCATAGGCCCTGGTCCTGATCCTGTCACCCTTGGCCCAGACACACCCTCCTTTTCCAGGCCCAGGCTTTGGAGCCATCTTCTTGGGAACTCAGTCCTGCCCTAAACGTTAGGGAAGTTCCGTGAGAAGAGCTCACTTAACTGCTAACCATTATCGTAGTATTCTCAGTGTTAGCCTTTATTAACAGCCAGCTTTCCCTTAAGATGGAAGGGGGACTGAAGGGTTTGAGCTCAAAGTTGAGCGACTGAATTGCGGAGCTTCCTCACCTTCCAGGGCCTCTTTTTCCCTCCTAAAACAAACAAAAACTTCACTCCCTCCCCTTCTTGTTATTTCCTGACATCCTCCAGCCCCACCCCTAAAACTCTTGCTTTCCTCTGAGACCCCCATGCCTCCATCCCAGGGCAGTCAAGCAAACCCTGGGTTTTCTGCCTCAGTCCTTTGGGGCATACATAATAATAACCCTGACAGGAGGGCCTGGAGCTGTCATACAACAACATCCAACATCTTTTCCCGCCTTTTGACCTTATTAATATTTTTTTCTGTGAGGCTGGCTGGGAAGTGGTTTTACTTATAAAGAAATGGAACTTCTCGACCAAGGGGCTTGGAAAGCAAACTGGGAGGATTACAGGTAGCCAAGGATGTGTTCAGAGAGGAGAAGGGGCAGTGGGCCAGAAAAGCGAGGACGCATCCAGAGGCCAGAGAATCCAAGGGAAGAATTAATCTGCATCCCAGGGATAGTCTGAGCACTGAAGTGATTTATCTATTTAGGTTTTTTGAGACAGGGTCTCACTATGTAGTGTGGGCTGCCCTTGAACTCACTGTGTAGCCCAGGCTGGTCTTGAAGTTCTGATTCTCCTGCCTCAGCCTCTTTTAAGTGCTGGGATTACAAGCATGTAATTTTAGATAAAATGTTAAAAGCAAATTCTGTCTCCTTTCTATAAATAGAGAAACCAAGCCTTAGAGGTGAACAAGGATAACTTGATTAAGGTTAATCAGCTTGAAAGGGAACTCTTAACTGCTGGTTTCTATGTATGTACTTCTCATAGCTTGAGTGATGTGAACCCAAGTCTGTCTTTATTCAAAGCCTGAATCCTTTCACATAGGTGCTGCTGCTGTCTCTTAAGGACGACCTTTTAAGAACCAGTAGGATTTGGGATTTGATAAGGCAGTTTCCTAAAACCATTTTTGAGCTTTTACCTAGCTTCACTCTAAGACCCCACAAGCCTATATCCCAAGAGACCTCCATGTCCGTTTCAAGTGAGTCGTGTGACAGTCAGTATCACCTGGGGACCGTTTTTCAAGAGACTCTTCCTTTATGCCCATCCCCCACCCCATCTATTCTGAAAACCCCGAATCCCCCCAGGGTGAAACTTTTGTTTTGAAGTCTCCCCAAGGAGATTCTTTTATCTTGCTTATATTCTAAGAGCTCATCTCTTACAGGTCCTTGTTCTCATAATTCTCTGTGGTTAATAATGATCTGGACTTCATATTTTAGGGCTACATTGGTATTAGAATTTGCTTTTCTACTTTTCTACCCTCAGTTCACTGATGCCAGTCTTGAAATTTCAACCATAGCTTGCCGCCTTTCCTTAAACCCCCCAAAATATAAACATATTGAAACTTTCTTCCCAGCTAAAACATTTTTAAGAATTTCACAGTAAACAAAGGCAGCACAGCACAGTTGTTAATTCTGAGGACTTTGAGGTTAGGCTCACATTCAGCCTTGGCTTGTCCTAAACTGAAGCATGGGCATGGGACCAGTTCTTTAAAACCTATGAGGGGCATAAGATAAGAGATACCTTCATCATAGGGTTGCTGTGCACACTGGGAATGTCAGTAATGTTCCAGATAAAGAGAAATTCTCTGCCTCAGTAAGTTCAGGCTTCATACTGAGTTCTCTTCCACCTTCACCCACTTTGGAGATTTACACTCTTGTAGAAGTGTCCCAAACTTCTTTGACCACCAAACAAATCCTATTTCCTTGTGTTGTCAGGCGCACTGTATTTGCGTCCTCCCCTTGAGAATTACTACTGAGACCTACACAAATGAAATAATTTGCTTTAGTCCACTTAATATGATTGCTTTCAGTTGTTTGGAATCCTCACACTATTTGAGCCTTCACATTGTTCTGGGCTCAGAGACAACATATTGAAGAAAATGTGTATTTCTATTTAGGAAAATAGGCTAAGCTTTCATATAATCTTTATTCAGCAAGTAATAAATACAGTCATTTTTCACCTTTCATTATTAAGTGGAGAGAAGAAACCCAACTCTTCAGGTTAAGTTTTCCTGGCTCTAGTTTCCAAGATTTTTCCTGGCTCTAGTTTCCAAGATTTATCTGTCATTCTCCATCCTAGGGCCCTGGGCTTCCAGCATACTCCAGTAATGTCAGAGCTGGAAGGAATCCTAGAGATAACCTGGTTCCGCTCGCTCTCTACCTGGTTCCGCTCGCTCTCTCTCATTAAATGGAAAAGCACTTTGGAGTTACCCTTTGCCCATTTCCTACAATTTACAATGAATTTGAAATAGAACAAAGTGACAACCTGCCTTGAAGTCTCAACTGAAGCAAATGCATACTTTTTACTGAGTCCCTATAGTGGTGTTTGAAAGAAAAGGAGGGAAAAAACTCCTTGTCCCAAAGGCACTTACATTTGAAAAGTTTGAGAGTTCTAAAAGATTTAAATGGTAATCAAGGTCACTGGAGGAAATGGTACGAATGTTAGCTCGTTAACAAAGGCTTTGTGGAAGGTGTACAGAAGTGAAGAGAACCTAGAATTAAAGGAGAAGGTGTGTTTGAAAGAAGGTTGCCTAGGACCATGTAGGTAGAGATAAGTGGAATGTGTTTCAGTATTGGGCCAGTAGAACAGTTATTTTCCTTTTCCATCTCAACTCCCTAGTGAATACACAGAAGGCATTTCTGTGGTCTCAAGAAATCACTTGATGTTGGGCCGGGGATTTAGCTCAGTGGTTCCGGCGCCTGCCTCTCAAGCGCAAGGTCCTGAGTTCGATCCCCGGTACCAAAAAAAAAAAAAAGAAAAAGAAATCACTTGATGTATAAATAGTCCAATATTAAAGAAAGTTCTTACCCAATTTGATGAACTTTCGTCGCCTAAACAACCCTAACCAAAACACAGTGTAGAGAACAGACTCTGTAGTCAAAAGTCCTAGGTATCTGATCTAGCCTGTCTCACCAGGCAGGACACTGGACCCCAGAAAAAGGACAGAGTTTGCTCAAAATGAGGTAGTGGCAGATTCAAATCAGCCTCCTAGATTTTTAACAATACATTATCTGGTTGAATGTTTAGTGTTATTGAAGTATCTTTCACATAAAAACAAGGCATCTCCAGTTTACTTTTTTGATGAGGCTTTGTTTTTGTACTGGGGATCGAACTTGGGACCTTGCTAGGCAGGGGGTGGAACCACTGAGCTAAATCCCTGGCCTTTTGTTTTTTTGAGACAGCGTCTCACTAAGTAGTTCAGGCTGGCCTCAAACTCACAGTGATCCTCGTGCCTCCATCTCCCAAGTGCTGGGATTACAGGCGTGTACCACCACACCCAGCAACAGTTTGATTTTAAAACCTTTTCTCTTTTGAGACAGTCTTGTGAATCCTACCCTAGCCTGGCAATTCTGCCTCAGCCTCCCAAGTGCTGGGATTACAGGCATGCCCCACCACGCCCAGATGCTTGTATTCTCTTGTTTTCTATTGCTAAAAGAACCCTGTCCTGAATGCACCTAAAACAAAGTTCAAGCTGCCACTTAGAAAATAACAGACAGCCTGTCAAACTCAGAAATTCTGTTGCTCCTATCTCTAGATGAACAGCAGTGAGGACCACCCTCTTCTGTTCTCCTCCAAAAAACTCAGGACAGCCAGGGATTTAGCTCAGTGGTTCCGCTGCCCGCCTCACAAGCGCAAGGTCCCTAGTTCGATCCCCATACCAAAAAAAAACCAAAAAACTCAGGACAAATTGAAGGATCATAAAACTAGTGGTTTAGTAGAACTGAGATCCTGGAGCTTAGTTTATCTCCAATTTGGTAAAAAGACACTAGTTCTGTTTGCCAGTTGTTTGATGTTTACTGTACTCAGGTGGGCTTTTTTTTTTTTTTTTTTTTTTGGTGATGGTGGTGGTGGTGGTGGTAATGGGGATTGAACCTAGGGTCTTTGAATGGAGCTACATCAACTACATCCCCAAAGCTTTTTTACTCCCCAGACAAGGTCTTACTAAGTTGCCCAGGCTGGGCTCAAACATGCTATTCTTCCTCAGCCCTCCAGAGTGCTGGAGTTACAAGCATGCACCACCAAGCCTGGTGGTGTCTTAAGTTAGCTTGAGGTAGTTAAACCTAAGCCCTTGAATGTAGTCTTGCCTGGGCACCAATGCCAGGTGACTGACCACTGGGAGCAGTTGTATAGAAGGGAGCTATACAAGCTTTCTTCCTGGTGGCCTGCACATGTCCAAATGAACGTAATGCATAATGCAAACATTTTCTCATATTTCAGTTGGAGGCAGTGATAGTGAGGGGAAAACTAGCCTGAGGGAGACCAGGGTCTTGGCAGGAATTGGTTGTCACTCTGCAAGCTGCCCCAGGCAGTTGAGTGCCTAAGAAAACCTTGGGGCTCATCAGGGCAGGACCACCCCATGCCCAAGCTTCTAGAAAGCAACTGAATTCTCTTGTATCTTAGGCCTCAGTTTAGAGAGCCCCCAGCCAGGCAGAGCTGGAAGGTGATTTTGGCTACCTTGACATAGATAAAAATGGCCTTAGAGTCCCTGTAACAAGTTACTGGGATACAGTAGAACACTGGATGTGGAGTCAGAAGGTTTTAGTTCCAGTTTCACCCTGTTAATGAGTTAAAACTTAGTGATCGTTATGTGCCTGGTTGTGTTCTGAATGCTTTTTAAAACCTATTCGGCCCTCACAACCACCTTTTGAAGTCACTGCTGTGATTC